AATAGCAAAACAACACTTTCAAAATTTCCCGAGTTAAAAATTAACATGGCGCATCATAGACCGGAATTTTTAATATTTTATGGGTTTCTGCCGTTTATAGACTGTGTTTTTATATTGAATATTATACTTTTATCTTCAAATAATGAATTAAACTTTAAATCATACCATTATTCCAGCGTATAATTTGTTTATTTTGTCCAATTGTCGATTTCAGTTAACTTTTCAAATCTAAGTAAAAAAGTGACAATAAGTCCCAGGTTCCACTCTATGCATTGGTCGTCATGATTTTAATACCATAATTTCATCTCGGTAAGCGGGCTAGCGAGCTCATAAGGAAAATTTTCATCCCGCCTACCTATGATTTCGTCTCCTACAGGCAGGGGCGGATCTAGGATTTTTCAAACATCAGTCATAAAACGTCGGAGGCACTCCGCGCCGGGGGGGGGTCTGAGGCATTCTCCCCTGAGAAATTTTGAATTTCAGAACCTCTAAAATGCCATTTTCAGCGTTTTAGAGCAATACAAGATGTATTTTGTGGGCATCGTTTTCGGTAAAACAACACATTTTGCTTACGTTTTTTCAAAAAATATGAAGTGAACAATACTTGAATGTTTTGCCAAATAATTAGGCTCATTATCATGCCAAATATATGGCTCATTAGCATGTCTAGGAACGTAAAATTTATTTTACAATAATGCTATTCAAAACGGATATAGTCTTTAAAAATTTCTACCAAGTTGTCAGGCATAGACCCCCCTAGAGACCCCCATTCAAACCTCTATGTAATAAGTTAAGTTAGAAATTTGGTACTACAAGTGACAGTTCATAAATATAGAAAAGCTCAGACTTCAAACCATGCAAGTTTATTGTAACCCTTTACCCATCTCCACATCAGAGCCAGCAAATTCACTTTTTGAGAAAAAACTCAAAATTTTTTCTGTCAAAGATTAAGAAAATTATCAAAGTGAAAATTGCAGTTAAGGACAGCTTAATGCCATGAATGTTTTTAGGCATTTCACTAGACTATTATCTTCTGTAAGTATATGCAAGGTGTGCTATATAGCAATCACTAGTAGCATTGTATTTGCAAATACAAACAGAATGTAACCAACATGTCTTTAATTATATAATTACATGAATGTTGAAATTGGTTCATGTGTCATGCTTACTGGTTATGATAAATATCTTTTCATATGATCAAAGCTCGTTTAAATGTAAATCTGAAATAATTTAGTTTAGAAATTATACTGATCATCAAAAAAATTACCTAGTGATCATAAAAATACTTTGTTGTTTTGCCAAATTTCAAGGTTTATCTGCATAGATAGGAAGACATTTTTACTTTATAGAAAATGCTATTCATACATCAATAGCCCTTTGGAATTTATGGCAAACAATCTGGTATGAGTCCTAGATTAACACACCTTTACATCTCTACATGAGGTGTTCAGTTAGAAAAGGGGACAATATGTGACATGGGACAACATTTCATGTATGTGAAATACTCAGGTTTAAAACCATTCCAGTCAAATTGTCAAAATTAAAAGCTTCATGGATCAGAAGACTCAAAATCACAGGTTATAGTAAACAGCCTCTCATGTAATCAATGTTAGTTTTCTCAAATCTTAAACAATATGTAGTATAACTGTCCAATGATTGAATGATCAATGATCATAAACTGAAAAGCCCCAAACATTTTTTTATGATAAAGTAAATAATAGAATGGCGCCTTATGGCTACAGATTTTTGTCCATTGAAATATATTTGCAGAAATGTAGGATTTCGCTGCCATATAACGGCCACGATTCCCCAAGCATCATAGAAATCATAGCTAAAAGTCCTTCGGCAACAACAATTTTAGAAGCATCAATCTGCTTACCATACGCCATATTAACATAAATCGCATCACACACTCGCATAAATTGACTTTGATATATTGCATTCATGCATACACTTCACTTGTCCTTTACTTACGATTTTCGATGTAAATTTCTGCTGATAAAACTCAAAACAATGTTGGCTTGCTTTTGAACATCAATGACTGAAATGTCGCTCGCGAGATCGTCTTTGCCAAGCATTTACAATTTATCCATAAATTTTTCACCCTCTTGAAAAAATTCCCAGTTTGGAAAGCAGCATTCATGTCAATATATGAATTTGTAAAAGATTTCCATAAATTCCATCTGATTGTAGTTTAGTTTGTATCATGCTTCAGAAATTACTATGAACGATCAAACATTCAATTCAGACAGTGAGCTTGACTATGTTAGTTCAGTTGGCTATCAGTCGAAATCGGTCAAACCAATCACAGTAAGACAAAAATTCAAATGAACCAATTGTAAGATAGCAATTGGACTCCCTTATAGGTCCGGCCACCCCTATTATCGGTCGAGATTATTCCAGACTGTCCACTGATCTGGCCATTGACCAATAAAATAGCGTTTCTGGCGTTCATAGACTCCTTTATAAGTCGAACCAGTCAAGCCACCCCGCTTATCAGTCGGTTATTCCAGGTCAATTAAAATTCAACTGATCTGGTTACCAAGGAGATATTCGTTGCATTAGTCATTAGTTTTCAATAATAAATAAAGCTGGATTTTTATCACGAAGTAAATGCGATAATAAAGTAAGAATAATTAGTGATTTTTTAATTAATATGAATAGGTAATTTTTGAATTTCAAACATCAGTCGCGCGACGGATTTGACATACTCTAGATCCGCCCCTGCCTACAGGCGAGATCGGGGCAATCGGGCCAGCCCGCTTTCTCGCATGAACACGACGTGAATATCAATAGTAAATGTATTGCAAAGCAAGATCATAGATAGATGAGATGTCTCGCTAACTGGGCTCATATGAACAGGCCCTAATTCAAGGCTGCTAGTTACGTTAATCAAATGAAAATAAATTATTACTTTTCCTCAAGATAGTCCTTAGAGGTCCGTTGAGTCTGTGTAATATACTTGTACACGCCATAAGCTTCGTTTGCATGTCATGAAAATTATCGAATTTCAAAGTTGCCTCTCATTCTGAATTGTGCAAAGATGCTAAGTAATATTATCGATTCTTCATCTTGTAATAGTAAATATCTCAAGGTTTCTTAGGTACACCTAAAGATGTAAAATGTTAATGCATATTTAATTTTAACGTTGAAAATTTAAATGCCACGTCAAGCAAATTTTATTCAACCAAAAGCAATCTGTAGCTACTGACCTCGATACAAAAAGGGAAAAAAGTCATACGAAAGGGAAATTAATGTTTGTGAGTGATTTTGATGTTTTCTCTTGATCATAAGTTCACAAATCTTACTAACTACAATGAGATACTTAAGAACAAAAACATTCTTTTTTTAGTTAATTAATTCATCATATATGAAACGTGCAGCTGCTTGAACAAGGTTATATTTCTCAGTTTTACAATTATTGTTAAATTTTCGTGTATAATTTTCACACGTATATGAAAATTAAATTGCATGGATACATACAGTTGGCCACTGATTGGTTAATTGTTCTTAAAGAGTCACAGATTTTGCATTGGTAAAGACTAAGTGGCTAAAATAAACATTGTGTATGAACCCTACTTAATTCAAAAAACTTTTATATAAATACGAATGGCTCTCTTTAAGCAATAAGCCCAAGGAAATAAACAGAAGAGATTAAATTTTCAGGTAATTCTAAATTCCGAATGCATGTCCTGTGTGACACGCACGCACTTACTGTAAAGTTTCAATAGAACTCACTGGAAGGCGGCAATACAGAAGAGAAGAAGCTTATTTTGATCCCCATCAAACTCACGGTATGTAAAATATATGGCTTTGACAGTAATACATGGCTATGACACCACTACAAAATATATGTCTATTTAATGGAAACGTTCTGAAATCAAAATCAGTATGACGTAATAACATGCTGAATTGATATGTGTAAAAATTTTCCACGTCATTTCCATTATTATCAATGCGTTTTTCCCAATTGTTAAACCCACTTTTCTAAGCGACTTAAGGGCGATTTTCATTCCGTGCAAATTGTCGCGCAGTCAACTTTTTGCGATCACTTTCTTTTGAATTGCGTGCATCAGTGTGAAACTGTTCTGGTCGAGAGCTTGCAGTTGAAAAGAAAGTGATCTCAATAAGTCGATCGGGCGATAATTTGCACTGAATGGAAATCAACCTTTACACAAAGAGATGTCTAAGCGTAAGTCAACATTCTGCTATTTAAGAAAAATGAACAAGTGTGCGCTTTTCTTCAAAAATCATAAATATATACAATAAGTGGTGATTTGAAAATTTTAAGGGGTCTTGGTCTGAATCAATCAAAAATCGATTTAAACATGTTCGAAAATACGAAAGAATAAAAAGAAACGAAAGTCATCGACTGTTGACTTTGATGTTCCGTGACTCCTCCTCGGAAAGGAAGGCCAAGACAAACAAATATCTGGAGCGAAGTACTATCATGTAACAACACAACGGAGACCATTCACAAGGAGCATATTTTGCACTTGCAAAGTGAATGCCGCAAATCATCATCCATTCAAGATTATGGACTTATTAAAGAATAAATGAATTCAACTTACGATTTCAGACGAAGAAACATATTGAGTACAGCTGTTCCTGTTGAAGATATCGTGCAACAATATCCTCCATTATCCACACTTAAAGGGTTTAGGGGTTGAAAACGTTGCATTGTGACAAAGTCTTGCTTTCACCATATTTTACAATAAATCAGATGTTTCACAAATATTATTTTGCAATTTTAGAGTCGCCATGCATACTGCAGAGTGATGATAGATGATTCTGCCGTTAAAGACATTAGGTCGTCTTTCTAATTATCGAAAAGCAATCTTAAAGTACTGTAAAGAATTATATCGAAAAGTCCATTCATCAAGGATACTTTAGGTGCCTAGAAAAAGCAGTATCAGAAGAAATAGAGGACTCCTCTGGTAGGTAAAAATAGCATAGTAAAGAACTCTGAAAAAACTACTAGAAGATAATCTGCATGAGCATTTTGTAGCTATGGAGTATAATATTTATAAATTATCTTGATGGAATTACACAACTCTTATGTAACTTAATAAGAATATTATATAATTTTTGCTAAGTTGTGTTAACTTTTAAACAGATTTTGAAAAGTTTCCGCTGGCAAGCTGTTTGTCAATCTTGCTTTCTGTCTGCGGTGGTGGAAACGGCGTGTAAACTTTCTTCATTTTCTTTGGTTTCTTTCGATGTTGCATCGTGTTTTTCTTGAACTTGGGTAGAAATCTATCCCAAGATTCATTCCTTAAAGCTGGATTTTTCGCTAACTCTCTTTTAATCATTAACGTCTACAATAGCAATTTCAAATGTTCAAACAAATGCTTGACTTGACTTGTTAATTTTTTATCAATTCTTACAAAAAAGCAATGTATGCAAGACCAATTTCAATGTATAGCTACATCGTTCCGTTGATAACCAGTTTGAACTTATAATGAAGTTTACTATAAATAAGCATTTCACGTTACTGATAAAGAGATCCGATCTTTCTTACAAACAGAAGGACATCAAATACACAAATGACACTCATCGTTAGTATAATAGTTGATTAATATAAAATATAGAACTCGATTTTACCTCCAAATACTGTATACAATTTTAAAAAACAGCCTTTTAAAAACGCCGTCGCAAACTGGTTGAATGCTCAAAAAACCCTAGTTTCTAGAGTTGTCAAAGTTTCGGAGTAACTCGAAATTGCTTCGAAACAAGCATTCACATATCGCTCTCTTGCTCGCTACGCAATTTCTTGTTTCTCCCAAACTTTCACGCGTGTTTTTATAACAAAAACACCCAAATGTTTTTTTACCTCTTGAATAGTTTCCCCGAAAAACTGAAAGACCAATATATTCCAAGAAAAGCTTGTAACTAATTCAGATGCAAACTATATCTACTACAATATGACAGGGTGGGGTGCACATATTTCCAATTTTTCACGATTTTTAGACTAAAAATGTTTGTTAATAGCTACATAAAGATGGTTGGCTGATGATAGCCTAGATAGTTTGGAATTAAACGCATACACTGAAAATCAGAGTCGAAAGTTATTTCGTACGCCATTATACCTTTATGTTGTAGATTGGATGAACATTTTTCATCGTATCTTCAATAACTTTTCGAGCCTGAAAAGAAACTTAAATTGTAAAACTATTTTACCATACTCATTATCAACGACAGACAAATGAGAAAACGTTGCCACATTTTAGCGCGTAAAGTGCTTGCTCGTAGCACGTGGTATGGAACAAATATTGTAACAAATAAACCAATAATAAACCAGGGGAAAACCAGCACGCACTTTTAAATATTCGAACTCAAAACAGTTGATAGTAATTAAATTCTCGTTTAAGGAGACAAAAGCTTACCGATTTTAATCCTTTATATGAACCCAGGACAGCAACCGTGTTACCTTGTACCATAATGTAACATTCAGTAAGAAGCTCTAAAGCCTATACGTTGGTTATGAACATCACATTAATGAACAGTTATTCTTGAAAAAATGCCAATGACAACAATGAGGCATACAGGCAGAAAGATAATTAGGGTTCTGGGATTATTCATATATGAACGATAGCCGTACTAGTCCCTTTAAAATTTATTTTACACGGATTTTAAATTGAATATATGAGCTTTTGTCTCTCTAATTTTGATAAATAATTTTGTGGCCCATACACATTGTTCCAAAGAAAATGCCATGGGGAGGGAGATACCGGAAATGGAAAAAGTTCGCCACATAAAATGAAACTGCTAAATAAGAAGAAAGAGCAAACAAAGAAGAGTATCAACCCAAGATTATAAAAGAATGCCTAGATAAAAAATAAAAGAAAAGCAAAGAAAAGATGTTGCAATACCGCTTTCGACAGAAGAAGAAAATGAATAGTCTGACTGTGCCTGACCTGTTAGCTGTAGCTTGTTGAAAGAATATGAAGTTGAAAGGATTGTTTTACGAATACTGCTTGGGCTCGCAAGGATTGAACATTAGACATGATTTATGTCTTGTGTAATTGGATTTCTTCCTTGGTTTTGTTATTTTTAAATATTTTAATGAATTATGTTCAACTCAACCTTTCTATACCTTAATAAGTAAAAAATCATAGATTTATTGGTAGAAAGTGAAACACGTCGACTTGTCTGATATGATGGGAAAATAAAACTCTCCATAAATAATTTAAAAGTTTTTTCACACAACATTCATGTGACAAATACCCTGAGATTTATTATACCAAGTTTCCAGTAAATTCTCCCCAGTAGATATATCTAAAACGTGAAGTGTCGCACTTTGCCCGAGGCTACCCATAAAAACTTGAAGAGCTTGTTCAAGTAACAATGATGTGAATTTTGGCCAATATTACAGTAAATTTCAACGTTTTCTAACATTCAGTCAGTAACACACCTTCAATGTCGCACCATTAGGTCCAATGAGTCTTTGTCGACGTTTCACAAATCTTTCTTTATTACGAACGAGAGATCCAATCTTGATGATGTCACATGACACGTCGTCATGTAAAACTCTGATAGCCTAGTGAATTTAGTGTACGTATCATATTAAATTGTGTAATTTTATTAATTCACTTTCTACGTATTTTTAAACATGCATAAGTTTACCCCACACTGTAATAGGAGTTTTGCCGATAAAACAATCGAAAATCTTTCAAAAACAAGAAGTCCGGATGGTGTTTAAAAACAACCATTTATTGTATTTCATCTATTCTTGCTTACGTAGGTAAAAATCAGGATAAGTTTACAAATTTACGAGAACAATTATGCATAGACCTTCAACTTGCAACGGCTGTAAAATGTACTTTTTCTCCTTTGAAATCAAACTACTTGCAAATACTAAAGATTTCAAACCACAATAAAATCTCCTGAGCAAGAATACTTATGAGGAAAGCATTTGCGCTTTCGTACTCAGTAGGAAGCCATTTGCACTTTGAACTAGGCATAGCGATGTTGTTTTAGGAAAATTTTTTCACTAAAGCTGTACAAATCGTGACCATTATCACCACCATCACATATACGGAGTGCATGGGACTTTGAAAAAAGGAGTAGAAAAATAAAATTACTGCAAACCAAACGATTTTCTACTCGACTTGCAAAGTCACAAAGGTTCTCAGTGAGAAATGGTTTAGCTATTTGAAAAGCAAACAGTTTCCGAAAAAAAAATTTGTTTGAGTTTTTAAACTTTATCAGCAATAAAACTCTAAAGCATACTTGCTTTCGTTTCAATATTTAAACAAACACGTTGTGTTTCTTTAAATCCTTGGCGTTCAAAGTGCAGTTACATAATCAAACCATCTACGTAGATTTCTGTGTTACAATAACCTAACAGAAAGTTCATAGCTCAGTTAGTTAGAGCACTGCACCAGCATCGCAGAGGTCATGGGTTCGAATGCCGTTGAGTCACCTGAATTTTTCAGGTTTATTGCTTAAATTGTCCAGCAAAAGTGATCATATCTTCATTTAATTTAATAACCTAACAGTTGATAACAATAAGCATAACTGTAGATAAGGTAAGATATACGTATTCATACCTGTTCATAAGGAACACTCCTCGCCATCAACTTTATCATGTCGCGAGCTTTTATGATTATAAATGGATCCCAGGTTTTTCGTGTCGTGTAGACACTCATGCTTCCCTCGATAACATCTAACTGACATTTTATGCCCTTGAAACATAATTGAACACAATACAAATTACAACATTAAAACTGATAAAGATGACAATGGCATCTTTTAGAGTATATTTTGTCTTCTTTCTCTTCCTTCAGAATGAAAACTATCATCATTGTTTACTGCATTATTTTAATTGTTGCTATAGCTACAACATACCGATTCCTTTAATTTAGCCTCCACAAGTGGCCATACTTCACGTAAATATTTTTCTCTGTACTTTGGGAACAAAGTCGCAAAAGAACTTTCTTCAAGGAGTAAATGCTTATTGTCCTCCTCTGTAAACTTTTCAATCTTCCAATGATCTATACCTTCATGATCCCAGGCTACAGGAAAAAACATACAAATGTGAAAAGTGCTACTTTGTGAAATCATTTGAGAAACAACAAAATAAATGACAGATCTCTTCATGTTCTCGCATCATTGCAAAAAATAAGCAACTTCAAATATAAATCAAATCAACATATTTTATTAAGACAAAAACTCACGTTTTTCTTTTCTGAATCTGCTCTTCTTGCCTGAAATCAAAAATACCATGTTTATGCCTTAATTTGGTCAACTGTAGTAAGTGGCAATATTTATGGCAGTGAATGTTGAAGGGCCAACTTAATGTGAGGTATTTCTTTGTAACATAACTTCATTTATTCATGGGTATTTTTTATTTTAAAAGAACAAAACATATTCGCAAAGATTTTCTTTCTTTAAAATTTACAACCATTAGCATCAAGCCAAAACCATCAACTGTTATACAGTATACGTAGACGTATTTAAGAATTTGGAAATTATATTTATTCAAGAAACAATAGTTCACTTTTGGTTATTATACATCCACCATTGACATAAAAATGCTATCTATTGTAATACCCATCGTAGTATTAATGAAGGCCAAAGCGTTCAGGTTTGAGTGAGCTTTGCCTTAGAAGTTAGATGATATTTTCTTCGTGATCTGGACTTTTAAAATTAATGAATAGCAAATCCACATGTACGTATCAATACTAATCAAAACAGTTGCCACAAAAAAATTATCTCGAAAATTACAGATAACTAATAATTTCACAAAAATATTGCTGCAAAATAATATAGGTTTTACCTTCATTTAAGGAACTTTGATCGTCTGCCATGTTTTATCGTGATTCAATTTACCATTAGCGGAGAGGAAGGCTGAGCCTGCAGACATTCACCAGTTATAATAGTAGATTTAAATCACATACAGCAAAAGAACAATTATTAAATATTAATTCATCTCTTTGATTACTCGGCCTGCAACACGGGACGCAGGTTCAACAAACTCATGAAATATTTTAAAGAAGCTTTGCCAAAATTACACTGGCAAACGTACGCAGCAAAATATTTAGTTATTTTTTTTACATCTCGTATTAAAACATCGTTCAAAATTTGTAAAACGTTCATAACCCATAATCTTAACATGTATTTGCAGTGCTGTAGAAGTATGTGTGTGTGGGGGTGCTTGGAGGAAGGAGGCCCCTTCTACCTTTGAAATGGGTAATTTTTCATAATTTCATGGGTTTGGCTTCGTCTAGAGAGCCCCCCATGTGATAAATTTAGTTCTACAGCCCTGTGTATCTGTGTAAATCGTTTTATCAATAAAAACCTTAAACCTTTATTTATAAGTATGTCATTTACACTTAGTCGGGTTATACACGTCCATACTATTGTATACTGACGTACATAAAGAGTGCACAATGTTTTGTCTAGAACTATCTACAAAAATCAGAAGAAATAGCCAATCCTAAGCTAAGCCTCTCACTTGGCAGTAACATTGAAAAAGTAATTAACGGAATCAAAGCTAAACTATACAATAGTAGATAAGGTGCAGCTTTGTCACACTTTTGTCACGGAGCTCTTACCCGTGCCAGTTAGTTTCCAGTCCCCTGAAGTTGTTCGGTGCGCGCGCATGTCAACCGGAAATAGGGGTTAATAAACTTGGCATGGCATTGGATGGCGTGAAAATCGGAAATACGACAAAGCTGGAAGTTGCATGCTACTGACAAAGTAACATTAGATCTGTTTCCTTTTCTCAATCGAAGGTAAAAACGGTAGAAAACGAGGTAATTGCATTTTATAGCTTATACTTTATCGAAAGGTTTACATTTTATCTCTTGAAACAAATGGAATTGAATATAGACATTGATCAGGCATTAAGAATGAACAAATTGCCTTTGGAGTCAGAAAAGAATGAAATAACTGTCGTCAAAGTTTGTTAGAAAATAAACTTTTAGACTGCTATGCTGAAGAAATTGTTGCAATGATAAACGCTGAAGTAAATAAGAACTGCAATGGTTGCATGATTGATCACCCTCTCAACGCAAGCATGACTGTTTGATGATGGAGCATGACGAGCGTATGTTGCTGCATTTTGATTCTGCCTTGGAAAATGTGTCCGAAGAGATTGTGATCAAAGATTTTATGAAAAGCATTGAAGATGTCGACCCACCCGTTAACGGACTTGAGATACTAAAATATACTTGTAAAGATTGGCTTAAAATATTTGTTTCAGATAAAATGAACAAACTTAAAAAACGAGTCATTCAACATTTGTAAATTTTTATTTATATTGTTACATTAAATCTTCGTTGTCAATGTTCAACGTCATGATGCCCTCGGTACACAGTTTTCTGAATGAATGAAATAAGAACCACTATATAAAATTGCTGCTTCCGTATGACAGTTTATACCTCAAACATATATATATATATATATATATATTTAAACTTTATATAATAGCACACAGTAAGGTATAAACGCACCCATGAATTACAAACTTACATCACAAATTGACGTACAGCGGCATCGACACCTGCGTCCGATACACTACATGAATGAAGAGTAAAAATCGATGACATGAAACGCAACCTGAGATTAAAATATCTTTAAAGGCATACAAACCCGCAAATTTTGCACTTGAATTTTCCCCGTGACTCCATTAACGGGGACAGATGGACAGTATGTCCACATTTAGCCGTGATGTAGAAATCACGACAGCGATTACATTTTTCTGAAAATGAGGAGATAGATTCTGTTGAAGATAAAAAACATTCTCTAATTTGAAATAAACAGAAAGAGCTCGCACTTACTAATTTCATGGTATTCTGTCTGCTGCGATGCCATTCTGCCAGACTTTGCGATTTGCGTGTCTTGATTTTTTGCAGAGTTTTATCGCCTTAACACATACAAAACACTTTTAGTATTTCAAGTGGTTGAAGTACACAGCGCATGCGCTTGAGATGTGACCTTCGCTGCCATCTCGCACGTGTAAATTAAAAATTACCATTGAATAGTATGACCTTGAATAATGAGGCGTGGGTAAGATTTGTGCAGTATCCTACTGAGGGGAATGATGCAGTAAATGATAAGGGCCCACGAAAGATGCCTGACAATGTGAATAAAGGAGCAGCATGAACATAAGTCAATATTAAAGGGAAATGAAAAGAGCCTTTAACATACCGACATGATACAGTAAATGATAAGGACCCCAGGAAAGATGCCTGACAATGTAAATAAAGTATCGGTTTGAACATGAGTCAATATTGAAGGGAAATTAAAAAGAAAAATCATGTTGTGAAGATAAGTCCTGCGGTGTGGGATGGTATCATACAGAGGAAAGTGATGCAGTTAATTAATGATGAGACCCTCTGGAAAGATATCAAACAATGTACCAAAAAGGGGTTACTGATTTGAACAAGCGTGAGTCTTACACTTGAATGTGATTCTATTCAATTCTTTACTCACAGTATGAATGAGACCTATTCTTCTTTAAAGAAAATCATGCGTTGGTAAATGATTATTCATGTGAAGGCCAACACTTTAAAAAAGGTGGAAAATGTTCCTGTTGCACACACACAACTTGAACAGTCCTTCATAAACGTGTTAAATTCAATTACTCTGTAGGAGTTCAATGAACATTTACTATAAAATGAAGCATGATTTCACAAATTGCCATTACTGCATGAAAATCATCGCCAGATGATCATGGAGGGAAAAGAGTATCTAGAGCGTTTACGTGTTCGAGCCATCAGAAAAAATGTAAAGGCAAAACGTTTGCTGAAAAAAGTTCAGAAAGAAATCTCTAAAGATAAAACGGATATTGCAAAAGTGTTAAAATGGGTAAAAAAATCAACGAAGTTGTTGCAGCAAAGTGTTGAACTTGGGGAAGGAAGAAACAACATAAAAAATCAAACTAAAAATGATGAAAAATCTGTTAACTTTGTGCTTGAAAAAGTTTCGGAACGATATGTTCGTAAATTTGGTGCCAAGTCGTGTATATTCCGTGCTAAGTTAGACGATCTATCCGTTGGCGATAAGCAAATAAAAGTCAAAGACATAATGACTGAGCTCGATGGCTTGTTTGACGACGCCATTCGTCAAGTGAGAGTGAAAAAAGCGCTGTGTGACACAAAGCATCTTCTTAATGTTTATGTTAATGTTCCCAGGTAATAAACAGTGTGATTTTAGAACACCATTGGAAGATCGTCTTCGTGTAATGATTAGATCGGATGCTTTGAAAGCACCAATCAGCACTAAGCTTCTTCCTGCCGCTGAAATTAACTCTAATAAAATTTTGGGCGAAATTACAAAAACTTTGCAAAGTAATGAGAATATTCCTTTGGACAACTCGTTTATCATCGACCTTATTGGTGTAAAAGCGCCTGTTGGGAGTGGTAAGGCCTTCAAAGTCTTAGATTATTCTCAAGACAGTACTTTAAAAAAATCGATTGTAACTATCAAGAATAATGATAACCTATGCTCTGCTCGGGCTTTAGTTGTAGCCATAGGGATGGCTGATCACCATCCTAAATTAAAACAAATGAAGATGGGTAGGCCTATACAGAAAAAATTAGCCTTAAAGTTGCATAAACGTGACAAAATTTTGCCTGGTAAATGTGCTTTGAGGGAAATTTCAAAGTTTCAAGGTGTTCTTTCAGACTATCAAATTATTGTAATAGACTTTGATGCACGAAACAATGATGCATAGACCTTCAACCAGCTAAGGCTGTGAAATATACTTTTTCTCCTTTAAAATCAAACTACTTGCAACTACTAAAGATTTCAAACCAGAATAAAATCTCCTGAGCAAGAATACTTATGAGGAAAGCATTTGCGCTTTCGTACTCAGTAGGAAGGCATTTGCACTTTGGACTAGGCATAGCGATGTTTTTTTAGGAAAATTTTTTCACTAAAGCTGTACAAAATCGTGACCATTATCACCACCATCACATGTACGGAGTGCATGGGACTTTGAAAAAAGGAATAGAAAAATAAAATTACTGCAAAGCACACAAAGATTTTCTACTAGACTTGTAAAGTCACAAAGGTTCTTAGTGAGAAATGGTTTAGCTATGTGAACAGCAAACAGTTTCCAAAAATTTTGTTTGAGTTTTTAAACTTTATCAGCAACAAAACTCTAAAGCATACTTGCTTTCGTCTCAATATTTAAATAAACACATTGTGTTTGTTTGAATACTTGGCGTTCAAAATGCAGTTACATAATCAAACCATTTACGTAGATTTCTGTGTTAATATAACCTAACAGTTGATAACAATAAGTAAAACTGTAGATAAGGTAAGATATACGTATTCATACCTGTTCATAAGGAACACTCATCGCCATTAACTTTATCATGTCGTGAGCTTTTATGATTATAAATGGATCCCAGGTTTTTCGTGTCGTGTAGACACTCATGCTTCCCTCAATAACATCTAACTGACATTTTATGCCCTTGAAACATAATTGAACACAATACAAATTACAACATTATAACTGATAAAGATGACAATGGCATCTTTTAGAGTATATTTTGTCTTCTTTCTCTTCCTTCAGAATGAAAACTATCATCATTGTTTACTGCATTATTTTAATTGTTGCTATAGCTATAACATACCGATTCCTTTAATTTAGCTTCCACAAGTGGCCATACTTCACGTAAATATTTTTCTCTGTATTTTGGGAACAAAGTTGCAAAAGAACTTTCTTCAAGGAGTAAATGCTTATTGTCCTCCTCTGTAAATTTTTCAATCTTCCAATGATCTATACCTTCATGATCCCAGGCTACAGGAAAAAAACATACAAATGTGAAAAGTGCTACTTTGTGAAATCATTTGAGAAACAACAAAATAAATGACAGATCTCTTCATGTTCTCGCATCATTGCAAAAATAATCAACTTCAATTATAAATCAAATCAACACATTTTATTAAGACAAACACTCACGTTTTTCTTTTCTGAATCTGCTCTTCTTGCCTGAAATCACAAATACAATGTTTACGCCTTAATTTGGTCAACTGTGGTGAGTTGCAACATTTATGGCAGTGTATGTTGAATGGCCAACTTAATGTGTGAGGTATTTTTTTGTATATTGGATGTAATTAACATAACTTCATTTATTCATGAGTATTTTTTATTTTAAAAGAACAAAACATATTCGCAAAGATTTTCTTTCTTTGAAATTTACAACCATTAGCATCAAGCCAAAACCATCAACTGTTATACCGTATACATAGACGTATTTAAGAATTTGGAAATTAATTTTATTCGAGAAACAATAGTTCACTCTTGATTATTATACATCCACCATTAACATAAAAATGCTATCTATTGAAATACCCATGGCAGTATTAATGAAGGCCAAAGCGTTCAGGTTTGAGTGAGCTTTGCCTTAGAAATATGGTATAAAGCAAATTTTGCAATCGCAAGATGTCTTGTCTTTTCGGAATTTGCTTTATACAATATTTCTTTACTTTGATACTTCTTCGTGATCTGGACTTTTAAAATTATTCAATAGCAAATCCAGATGTACGTATCAATACTAATCAAAACAGTTGCCACAAAAAATTACAGATAACTAATAAATTCACAAAAATATTGCTGCAAAATAATATATGTTTTACCTTCATTTAAGGAAGTTTGATCGTCTGCCATGTTTTATCGCGATTCAATTTACCATGAGCGGAGAGGGAGGCTGAGCCTGCAGACATTCACCAGTTATTATGATAGATTTAAATCACATACAGCAAAAGAACAATTATTAAATGTTAATACATCTCTATGATTACTCGGCATGCAACACGGGACGCAGGTTCAATAAACTCATGAAATATTTGAAAGAAGCTTTGCCTAAATTACACCGGCAAACGTACGCAGCAAAATATTAAGTTATTAATTTTACTGTTTTTACAACTCGTATTAAAACATCGTTCAAAATTTGTAAAACGTTCATAACCCATAATCTTAACATCTATTAGCAGTGCGGTAGAAGGAGGGGGGGGGTGGGTGGTCACTTGGTGGAGGAGCCCTATTTCTACCTTTGAAAATGGTAATTTTTCATAACTTAATCTCTTCAGCTTCGTCAAGAGAGCCCTCCATCTAATAAATTTAGTTCTACAGTCCTGTGTATTTGTGTAAATCGATTTATCAATACAAACTTAAACCTTTATTAATAAGGTATGTCATTTGCACTTAGTCGGGTTATACACGTCCAAACTATTGTATGCTGACGTTCGTAAAGAGTGCACGATATTTTGTCTAGAACTATCGACAAAAATCAGAGGAAATAGCCAATCATAATATTAAACTTACTCCTAATTAAAACCACGCACTTGACGTTACTAGTTACACAAATGCACTTGATAGACACATGCAACAAAAAAGTCGGATTGTTATTTTTGTACTTTGCATAAAGGTATAGCTCCAACTAATAGTTCACCAAATTTTGAGACTCAAACGATAAATATTTTAGAAGATATGGAGGTTTAAAGTTGATGCCTTACTGATAACGTATTGAAAATGCCCGACGAGCTAACGACGGCTACCGATTGGAAAAAGGTCGTTGTGACGTAATAGTTGACGTTAGCTAAACGCGGTCAATTGCGCACTTCGTTCAAAATATATTGGTAACTTCTTTGCCTGCATTTTACAACGCGACAATTTAGCATTGAAAATATGGTTTGATTTTAAAAACGGTTCTTCTAAGAACCACCAAACGCTGCAAAAGGTTTCTTTTTTTCGTTTCCCGAAAACAAGCGCATGCGAGATATTTGGATTTAAAAATCCGACGCAAAAATCTGAAACCAACAAAGAGCTCAAATTTTTGCTCGCAACATTTCGAGAGTTCGTGCTTCGTGCAAAATTTTAAAGCGATGCAATCAGTAGGATGGACAGCAGGACGGCTTTGCCTTAAGAAGGATGCTGTACCCAAGATTTTTGAATACTCTGTGGAACCCACAAGTGTAGCATCTAAAAGGAAGCAGCCAACTAATGTTGGAACTGCATTTGAGAAGAGACGAAGGCAAGAGGTGATTATTATAGTTATAGTTAGCAATATTTCTTTACATTTATCAAAAACTAAGCTATTAGCATTACCAAATTGAGGACAATTTTATAATTTTAGATTATTGCCGAAGGAAGTTTGTCCAAGATAAAAGATGTCAAAATTTATGTAGACAGGGAAACACAAACATATACAGTGGTAACTAATTCAGACTAATGTCGTTTGATCTTTTCTTTGTTATTTTAACTCATAGAAAATTCCTTGTACCTTAGAAGCGCAATGTGAAATGCCAAGCAGACATAACAATCCATCCGCAAAAACACGTAAGGTCAAGAACCACTCCAACAAAAGTGCCAAATATGATAAGTAGAGGTATAGACTTTCCATTTCGGTTGTTTTGATTTTTGTGAAAAATCATGCCTTTAGTTATATTTTTAAAAGGGGTTTTCTTTTGACTGCATCATGTCAAATTGAAGAGCCTGTTCATTTATTTAAAAATGTGTCTTGTGAACGCTCAAGAAGGAAGCTAAACTTGTACGTTTTCTTCAAGAGACAACAACAGTTTGAAAATTATGGGTGTTAGTGTAATGACGACAACTTAAAAACGGCAAACGCGTGCAAATTAGCACATTTTAAATTTGATGTCAAGTAAGGTTTGAAAACCAAGCTGAAAATTGAAGAGGGATTGTTATGTACATAGTTTACGTATGTCAGACCTCTGAATTTCCAAATTCATTCATCAAGGGTCCTCGCCTGTTCAACTTACTGTTAAAAGCGGAAAAATGGTGAATGATACGAATTCATAACTGTGACATATATGCGAAACAAGGAAATTGAATTCATCAGGACATATTTCAATAGTGTTGGACAACAAGAGCATTATTTGCTGGCAGAATATGAAGGAGGTGCTGAAAGTTTGGAGAAGATCTTAGAATCTTACTCTTTGTTATCGTCGACATCATTTGTTTGTTCACAAACGCACAACAAATGCAAAGACCACAAACGCTTTTCATTAATGGTAAAAAAACAGTGCATAGCATCAAAAGTACGGCACTGCAAAAACACTGCATACGTGGATCAGAAAAGGTCAGATTTCAAACGCTGTACTACAACGAGATAGATTAGAATTTTCAATATGAACATAATAGCCCAACATAATACTTTTAAGAAAGCCATCACAATAATCAAATAGAGAAGGATTTATTAATTACGTTTCGTCTTTAACTTAAGACATCTTCAGATTAATATTAATCTGAAGATGTCTTAAGTTAAAGACGAAACGTAATTAATAAATCCTTCTCTATTTGATTATTGTGATGGCTTTCTTAAAAGTATTATGTTGGGCTATTATGTTCATATTGAAAATTCGCTTTCCGCCTGGCAAATCTCTGGCCCCGAGATAGATTAGACATTTTAATCAACAGGCTAAACAAAATGACCATTTTTAGGACTCGAGTGGAGGAGAAAATGAACAAAAAAAAATCCGCTGAGCACAATTACGCAACCAAAACATATCAAAAATTTAACTTACCAGCAACAATCCAGATTCGTGAAATAAAAGTTTTTAAAGGACTGCTACCTTGACAAAACTCTTTACCCAACGGCGAACAGCTTGAGAAAAGCGGAAAAAACCGTTTTAGATAAACTTAGAGCAGACATTTCTAAGACTTCGAACAATATAAACACACGTCAAACTGCTACGTGCAACTACATTTATCATCACAGCACCATAGTCATGTAGTTGGAAGTTCTGTTAAAACCAGTTACAACGTTGACAATTAAACGAGTAATAAGTAAAATTCATTAGCTTGTCAGTAAGGATTGGATATAAAAGCATTGTCTGTTCTGTCTTGGCTGCCATATCTAAAATTTAGAATTATGTTTGTGTAAGTTTTTCAATCCTTATAATTCTGTCATAACGCTTATCTTTCACCCAACTTTAAATAGGCGAACTAAAAAATCTTTAATTAAAACACAAATAATAAAAATGCTATATGATCGAATGTTTACAAATATGCATAATGGTAATACATTATTGAAATTTTAGTAAAGAGTCTTTGATTCATTTCAGTAATCTATATCATTGTTTACTCTAATTCTATCCATCAGTTTGTATGATGATTGCTTTTTTCTCTTCTACATGAAAAAACCAGGTCCAGACAGATACAACTCAAAGTTTTATTTTTTATCAGCATGTTGATCAACTATTTAAAAGCTAAGAACGGAAGGCCTGCACTAATGTTAAACTAGAAACTTTTACAAAGTTCTTTGATACCTGCCAAAAAATGTGGAAAGTTTATTTGCTTAAAATTTACACTCTGCATATCCATAGCATCAGCATGTGATCTCCGTGGCGCAATGGATTAGCGCGTTGGACTTCTAATTCAAAGGTTGTGGGTTCGAGTCCCATCGGAGATGTAAAACTTTTATAGCAAACAGTTGGTGATGTGAACCCTTTTTTCTTGAAAGAACAAAAACTGAGCTTCTGACAATCGGATTCGCCATTCTAAAAAATGCGATGGAAATAGTCCCGGACTTCCGATTGTCTATACTTTCCAAATTTAATTTTGCGCAAAACATTAGATAAGAAAAAGACTTGAAACAAGGAGAAAAATACGCAAAATGTATTGATAAATGTACTGGATAACATAAATAGATAACACAACAGCCGTGGCTGTTGTAATAATATATATCCATCGTTAATTCTCCATAAAATTCAAATTTCTGAAAAAATTTAGGCATTTTTTTTCAGAAATATAAATTTTATGGGGAATTAGCTATGAATATATAACCATTTTCTGTCCTGTCTTGGCTTCCAAATCTAAAATCTAGAATTATGTTTGTGTAAGTCATTTTAATCCTTATAATTTTGTCATAACCCTTATCTTTCACCCAACTTTAAATAGGCAAACTAAGCAATCTTTGATTAAAACACAAATGCACAAGTCATAAAAATGCTATATGATCGAATGTTTACAAATATGCATATTGGTAAAACATTATTGAAATTTTAGTAAAGAGTCTTTGATTTATTTCAGTAATCTAAATCATTGTTTACTCTAATTCTGCCTACTTTTTATATGATGATTGCTTTTTTCTCTTCTACATGAAAAAACCAGGTCCAGACAGATACAACTCAAAGTTTTATTTTTTATCCGCAGGTTGATCAACTATTTAAAAGCTAAGAACGGAAGGCCTGCATTAATGTTAAACTAGAAACTTTTACAGAGTTCTTTGACACCTGCTAAAAAAGCCTGGCCAGAAAATCATCAGCAAATCATCCAGAAATTTTAAGTGCATAAAATTCTCGACGTTGCACAGCGAGAATATCTGCACGTGAATCTCCGTGGCGCAATGGAATAGCGCGTTGGACTCCTAATTCAAAGGTTGTGGGTTCGAGTCCCATCGGAGATGTCAAACTTTTATAGCAAACTGTTGGTGAAGTGAACACTTTCTTCTTTAAAAAACAAAAACTATACACCATTATATATTTATACATTAAAGCTTAGTTTATTTATGAATTTTGTGACTCTAATTCTTTATGTGAGGTTTAGCGACAAAAATATTGTCGTACACAGTTAAGTAGTGTTTTTATTGTTTTTTTTCTTAGAAAACGTGAATTAAAAATAACTTCTAGAGTTGTCATTCTGAATAATAAAATTTAGACGAATGTGGTGTTGTTTGTTGTGCTTAATGCTGTATTGAGTGTTGTGCCCAATGTGGTGCCAATCTCAAAGTAGTGATATACTTTTCATACGTTTTGTAAGCTTGATACTTAATCGTGATGCGGGTGTGTCATGCTTAATGCATGAACTTGGGATGTAGCTATGATCATCATTGACGAGCTTGACTATTCGCATACTATTTCAACTTGTTTCTTATTTGTCATTCTTATTTGCAACAAATGAAAAGAACATTGCATGACCGCAACAGCTGTTGAAGCCAACAAAAAGTTTGTAATCAAACATGCATATAACCAAACTTAAAATAGTTAGAAACGTATACATCAAACTTTGTATTTTAATTCATTATGTCGTGTCTATTAGAAGCACAAAACTTGCATTGTATGAACAGCTAATGTATCTTGCGTATAAAGGGCCTATTTCAGAAAACGGGAGATGGCATTTTTAAACTTTATGGTCAAAATGAGTTATTAATTTCTAATACAAAATTTTAACTGGAGTTATACCTGATCCTATGTAATTATTGTTAATCTTCTAGAATTTAACAAAGCAACATTGTTCAAATGGTGTATATCGTCAAGACTATCAGAAATGCTGCTTGACTGGACGTCATCCATGGTGTTGTCTGCTTAAATATGCAGTTTGCTGTCCTGGAATGATTTGCTGTCCATTTCCTTACAAATGTTCACCTAAACATGGCATGTGCGACACTCGCTGACATATAGTTATAATTAATTTCAAATTATTGTAAACTGAAAGAAATTGATCATTATTTTTGTTATTAATCATTACGAAAAAAATTAGCACATAATATTCATCATAAAACTGCGTTGACTGTCTCGTATAGGTAATTTATGTACGGAACTTTAATAAATCACAATACTTTTCTCTGCAATTTCTTTCATTTATTTTTTTATATACTTAAGCATACTAAATAATATGAAAGTTAGCATAATTTCATAGAAGCACTATCGCTAATGCGCATTTAATGTAGACAACAAATTTTTGAAAATAAAAATGTTTCGACATCTAATGATGCCATCTTCGTGATGCCATCTTCAGTATAAGTGAATAATTATTATAAGTAAACGCATGCTTTCAGAGATATTAATGATTAAATGTCCCGAAAACCTCTCGAGGCTTAAAGGAACCTTTAATCACTAATCCCGAAGGTGCGAGGCTTAAAGGAACCTTTAATCACTAATCCGGACTAGTATCCCGAAGGTGCGAGTTCAAATCTCGTCCAAGTCACATGTTTTTTCATGTGCGTGTAAAAAACCGTGTTAGGATTAATATATTAAGTATATACTCTGATGATGGCTTTGGAATAAAGTCGAAACACGGTGCCATCCAGTAAACTGCTATAGTGGCGAGAATCTCTCGTCCATACGCAGTTTAAAAGAGATTTGAGTCGACTCCAATCCCTGTGGGCTTGGTAGCTCAACAGGTAGAGCGGCGGACTAGTATCCCGAAGGTGCGAGTTCAAATCTCGTCCAAGTCACATGTTTTTTCATGTGCGTGTAACAACCGTGTTAGGATTAATATATTAAGTATATACTTTAATCACTAATATCCCTTTAAAACATGCGTCTACATTGTAACCACAAAATTTAAAATTTGCCACTATTTCATAGTGTTGGCAGTTTGTGGCGCGTTTTTATTGTTTAATATTTAAATGTAATTCATTATTTTTCTACATTTGTTGTAGAAATATTTTATTTTTTCCTAAACTACCGATAAACAGGTGTGCTTATACACAAATGATCTTATAGCTAATGTTATTGTAATACTGGGTCTAGCAAAAGAAGAGGATTAGCCTAAAGTGTTGTAATGTGCAGCATAACATGCCTATTTTAGATGAAATTACCCTAATAAGAAAACTCAACAACCTTATGAATTTGTTCACCAAAACTATTTTATTGAAATTGCTCAGCAACTGTCACAACTATACCCAGGTGTGTGTACCTACCTGGTGCACAAAAACCCTTCCATGCAGCTGTAAGCTCCGTTTTTTCAAAAATGCTGTAGAAAAAAGTAATCAACAATAATTGAAAGGGTCTGGTGAAATTAAAAATTAATAAAGGTGCGCATTGAACCCACCAGGGGTTTTTTCTTAGTGGTTCCGTACAAAACATTTTTCGTTTTTCTTAAATGTGCGAGACCCTCAACTTTATTTTTAAACGGCACTGAGCAAAAAAGTCTAAAACGTCGACTGCACTACACACTAAGAGCTGCAACAATGTAATACTAACCACATAAAAACACATACCGTACTTTTTATATGATTAATTAACAGATAGATAAAATTGAACTGTTGTCGTTAAAAATATACGATTATGACGTCATTTGTAATAAGAACCAAAAGGAAGGACACGAGCCATCCAGATGAGTGATCACTCGTCTTACTCGTGCACCATTACTAAATAGACAAAGCTCAAATTTAATCAATTTGTTTAAAAAATATATAACGGAAAAAGTTACCTTTTGTAAGAAGCAAACAAGTAAATTCTTTTAGTTTTCCCCAACACTTTGAAAATTAAAATAATTAGGTGTCACGCTTATATTGATCTTTTGGATTCAAGATATCTTAAGTTTCCTGCTGAAATTTGATTGGGTTGGAGAATAAACAAACAATGGCTTATCAATTGTATTGAAATTTTTTTTTATCGAAGTAGTTAGTAAAAAATAATAGCCAACAAAACAAACAAACAAGGAAGATAAAAGGATACAATCTATATATACGAAATGATAATTTGGGCACGTTGACTAAGTAAACTGAAAACTATAACATTAGATTTTCTTATACATATTCTTGTTTTAGTATTATAAAGAGAGCTAACTCAGGTCATCGAACACATTCAAAGTGCATTAAGTTTTTAAAGTCAGGAAATTGAATATTTTCTTTATAAATACAGCATAAACAAAGTGTTCATTGTACATATTTATCGAAATGATTTGATTTTCATAGATGTGGTTTTCAAGGAATAGTAATACCCTTTCCATGTGTACAAGTGGACAACGTCACCCAGTAGCGAATAAATAAATCATCACCGCTAATTTTAAATTTAAAACACTTTAATCCCAAGGACTTTAGTAATAAAACTCTAAAGAATAAAAATCAGCCAATCGATGCGGTGAAGTAGTTTATTTTGCCTATATGTAAATCCGCCCCTGCCGTCACCATAACAATTTATGTGCAACATGATGATGTATTCCATTTAAATTTGATAAATGGCACTTTGTGTATCACCAAGCACCTTTGCATATCCGTGCACAACTTAATGACGATGCATCGCTATCAGAGTCTTTTGTTGAAAATTCAGATCTTCTATGCCTGGTTAATGAATCGCCAGCAGTACCTTTAAAAATCACACGTGTGGTTGATGATTTCTTATTTCTTACACTTATGCGTACAGCAAATGCAACATGCATTAGTTTCAGATTGTTTTGAATAGACACTTATTTTAACACGTGCCACTGACGTCAAAAGTGATGTAACATTTACAAAGCCAACAAAGTTCTTAGTGCCAAATGTATCGAGCTTAAGAGAAAAGGTCTAGCCAAAGTCGAGCATAATTTAAAGCCGGTTTTAAAATAATCAGATAATAGCAATGTTTTCTACAGTTTCTAAAAACGATAAGCGGAGGCTTTTGAGCAAAAACTATGCGGAAAACACTAAAAAAAGTGACGAAACTGGTTTTGAACATATTAACAGCATATTTATAATGTGCTCAAACGCATCGCAGATTGGCTTAATTTTTGTTAAAACAATTAAAAAAATTGTACCCAATCTGAACTTGTGTGAAAACAATGGTAGCCAATCTGCTACGTAAGTAATGGTGCTTCAGTACGATGTGTAATTTCGACATTAACCCATTGTCAAAGGAATGAAGGACTGAGTTCTGCGGTCGAATTTTCCTGAAAAATGTTAACAGTCTTTCTCTTTCTCCTTTCTTTCTTCTTCTTCGTTTCTTTTTCATTAAGAGGCCTTTCGTTTCTATACAAATGAGCAAACGGAATACAAAGAACAAACAAACCAAAAACCTCTTTCAATTATAAAACTGTCATAGGCATAGTAACGGTGTAGTTTGTTCCTCCAGGGATTTTCCTATCCACTGTGATATACTGAGTGAGTGAAGGATATAAAAGGGGTAACTTAAGACAAGCAAAACGTCCAGTTAATCACTCACCTAAATTCCTACAAAATCACCCGATCCGAACGTAGTTATATAGAACTATCATAGGCATCAATAAATTATTGGAATTGCTCATGGTTAGCCAAGAGTTTGCATTTGGTTCGAATTCATTGTAAGGGCAGATTTTCAGGGAACTGAAGGGGGTGCATACCCCTGAACAAATACTCAAGCCTCTCCGAAGAAAAATTCTAAATGGTACAACGAACTGCATACTATAATTGTAATAATAATAGAGACTAGGGAATTGTACACTAAGATTAAGCAAAAAATAGAACTCATTCATTTCAAAGGCAATTAAATATTTTATACTACAGCCATTTCCCATTGGATTACTACCATGCGCGTTTATATTGCAACGTTAAAACGAAAGTAGTTGTTAAACGTGAAGCAACCTATTACTTTATCATGTTTCTCTATTTACAAAATATTTTCTTGTCCCTTGTTTGTCACGAGTAAAAGTAGCTGTTGTATTCGTCTTTCATTTGTCGTTGATAGAATTTGGATAAATAAGTTGCACCTAAAGCTAGGAGAATGACGCACTTCCTGGAAAAACCACACTTCATCCTCCAGTTAAATGAGCATTCATCCGCCCGTGGTTCATTATGTTTAAAAAAGTTAACAATTTCCATAACTTTGGGAATCATCAGGCATTGTATACAATACGTAACTTCGCCGTTCAACTAAAACATTCGGGTTGCCTGAAATAATCTCCCCGTAAAGGCATGGTCGTAGGGCAACAAAAATATTTCAATAACCAAAGCACGTTAGAAAAATTTCCTTTAAAAAATTCTCAATCTATTCTTATCAGATACCTGAGAGTTTCGAATTTTCTTTATTACAGCTTCGACATCAACGTCGTTGTTGAAAACTAAACAAAATCGAAAGCTAAAGTAAATACCGGAGTTTCGTTTTTATTTTTGATGGACGAAAGCAAATCCGAAGGAGCATAACTAAGCTATGACCAGTCTCCATACAGTTTTATATATGGTAATACCATGGGTAGTTTAAGTCTACGAGATATTAATGGGAAATGGAAAGCACATAGTCATTGCTGAGGCTTTTTCAATCGCAAAAAATTGAGATGCATTTCAAAACCCGCAAACCTGGGTGAAACTTGGAAAACTGCAATGAGCGTCTTCAGTTATTTTTGGAGTGACTTCATTGAATTGCCTTGATTAAACCCTTCCAAGTTGTTAACGTTATATCCAGCTACCAAACGTGACGCATGCGCGTTTGTCAAATACTACCTATAGTATATAGGTTTCGTGAGGTCTCAATACTATGTGAATATTTTTTATATTGTGCAACAATTTATCTACACGTACGTAGATGGAAACACGTGACGGAATTTGATGAATTAAGTAAATGTTATGAAAAACAGAATTCAATACTTAAATTCATATCTTCCTTTCTCGTAAGATGCATGTCTTTTGACAGTATTGTCTTATAGGAAAATGCAACACAAATTATGTCCATTTTTTGTTAATTACCTTTATTTCAAATAAAGTTTCAACAGCTTTATCAAATCTGGCGCGTTTGAGGGTAAATATAATGAAGACACGGATGAAATTCTTATCACATATTTAATTTTTTTGAAAAAGGTTATGTTTCTAGTGGACAACACGACTTTTTCATTGTTGCTTTTTATAAATTGAATGGTTTGGGTTTGAACCCAAGAGTATCGCTAGATGTTTGTAGAAAGAAATCGTTCAGGTTAGTTTGAAAAAATCGGAAAAACCTTTACGTTGATTTTAAAAATTTTTACAATGCAGAAACAATTACAAAAATATTATCTACCTGTTTTGGCTTTGTCGCCCATTTTCTTCATTTCCGGTGGTTGAAACATCTTGTCTCGACGTTCTTTACGAAGACTTTCGGCTGCTGTTTGTTTTTGCTAAAGAAATTTTACCAAAATAATGAGTGACGATTGTGGTTAAACATAACAATTTTTATTGTCGAAAAAAAGAAACGCGACAGGAAAACCTGTACTATTGTGAACCAAAACTTTACCGCCGACTATAATTTGCTTTTGAGCAAAAGTTTACAATATTGAATTGCATTCAAATATTCGTACAAACATGGGCGTCATCCTGCGATAATTGGGGGGACCCAATATTGATATATTCTGTTATGCCAGGCTGATTAACTCCTAATACAAGGCGGCAAATATAACTGTCTAACACCAGTCATTGCAGAATCTAGTCCTTGCAGAATCGCAGGCCTTGGTCGCCACGGCATCGGTGATCTGGACCTCTGGTTCATTATGAGGCCTTGATTCGATAGAAACCTTGATCACTTCTTCTGATGGAATTATGAACGCTAACCGTAGCAGTTGGAGCGCTTCTGGATCCGCAAAAATAGACTGAACTAGTTCCGACACCGTTGATTTACTTTCCTCTTTGTCTCTCGGATTCAAATCTCCTTGGATGCGGTTACAATCCAGTGGATTTCCTTCTCTATGAGAAATATCAGCCATGCTTTTTCGCGAGCGAAATAAAATGGTGAGTTTGGGATAGCTGCGACGTTGTGTTTATTTTAGTTAAAGTTTCTTTGTATCGCTATTTTGAGTGACATAAAGTGGCATTACATTGTTATATCGAGGCGACTATTTTGAAATATAATCGAGAAATCTTCTATGTATATTACTAAGCCCTTAATAACCGAGCTCGAGGTTTTTACGGAGAAATATCGGACCGAGGTATTTTTGACAGACCGAGCCGTAGGGCGAGAATGGAAAATAATGAACCGGCAAAAATGTTTCCGAGCCAATCAAAGCGCACCATTTTTCCAGAATTGACGCTTGCCATATAATAATAATAAGTAATAGCATACGTAGCTTCTCGTGCAATTTAAGAAACACAACCACTCGTGAGTTTTTCAAATACTTCGAATTGCACTTGTCCTTCGGACTCATTGAGGTAGATTATTAGAGATTACTAGACCAAAACCTCGTCGTACGTATAATGATTTTCATGTATGGAGCTTCACTTGAGCAAAGTTTTGGTTGCTAACAATTTACATGTAAGAAAAATCATACAGGTCCAAGTACACCTTACAATAAAAATAATTAAGCTACACGTACCTTCTTTTCTTCGCTCGATTTAACTCTTTTTTCTTTTTCTTTCAGAAAATATTCCCCGTTGGCAAGCTGTTTGTCAATCTTGCTTTCTGTCTGCGGTGGTGGAAACGGCGTGTAAACTTTCTTCATTTTCTTTGGTTTCTTTCGATGTTGCATCGTGTTTTTCTTGAACTTGGGTAGAAATCTATCCCAAGATTCATTCCTTAAAGCTGGATCTTTCGCTAACTCCCTTTTAATCATTAACGTCTACAATAGCAATTTCAAATGTTCAAACAAATGCTTGACTTGATTTGTTAATTTTTTATCAATTCTTACAACAAAGCAATGTATGCAAGAGCAATTTCAATGTATAGCTACATCGTTCCGTTGATAACTAGTTTGAAGTTATAATGAAGTTTACTATAAAGTAGCATTTCACGTTACTGAAAAAGAGATCCGATCTTTCTTACAAACAGAAGGACATCAAATGCACAAATGACACTCATCGTTGGTATAATAGTTGATTAATATAAAATATAGAACTCAATTTTACCTCCAAATACTGTATACAATTTTGAAAAACAGCCTTTTAAAAACAGCGTCGCAAACTGGCTGAATGCTTAAAAAACCCTAGTTTCTAGAGTTGTCAAAGTTTCGGAGTAACTCCAAATTGCGTCAAAACCAGCATTCACATATTGCTCTCTTGCTCGCTACGCAATTTCTTGCTTCTCACAAAACTTTCACGCGTGTTTTTATTAAAAATAACACCCAAAATGTTTTCTTTACCTCTTGAATAATTTCCCCGAAAAACTGAAAGACCAATATATTCCAAGAAAAGCTTGTAACTAATTCAGATGCAAACATATCTACTACAATATGACGGGGAGTGCACATATTACCAATTTTTCACGATCATAAGACTAAAAATGTTTGGTAGTAGCTACATAAAGAAGATGGTTGGCTGGTGATAGCCTAGATAGTTTGGAATTTAACGCATGCACTGAAAATCAGAGTCGAAAGTTATTTCGTACGCCATTATACCTTTATGTTGTAGATTGGATGAACATTTCTCATCGTATCTTCAATAACTTTTCGAGCCTGAAAAGAAACTTAAATTGTAAAACTATTTTACCATATCAACGACAGACAAATGAGATAACGTTGCCACATTTTAGCGCGTAAAGTGCTTGCTCGTAGCACGTGGTATGGAACAAATATTGTAACAAATAATCCAATAATAAACCAGGGGAAAACCAGCACGCAACTTTTAAATATTCGAACTCAAAACAGTTGATAGTAATTAAATTCTCGTTTAAGGAGACAAAAGCTTACCGATTTTAATCCTTTGTATGAACCCAGGACAGCAACCGTGTTACCTTGTACCATAATGTAACATTCAGTAAGAAGCTCTAAAGCCTATACGTTGGGAATGAACATCACATTAATGAACAGTTATTCTTGAAAAAATGCCAATGACAAAAATGAGGCATACAGGCAGAAAGATAATCAGGGTTCTGGGATTATTCATATATGAACGATAGCCGTACTAGTCCCTTTAAAATTTATTTTTAAACGGATTTTAAATTGAATATATGAGTTTTTGTCTCTCTCTAATTTTGATGAATAATTTTGTGGCCCATACACATTGTTCCAAAGAAAATGCCATGCGGAGGGGAGATACGGGAAATGGTAATAAGTTCACCATATAAAATGAAACTGCTAAATAAGAAGAAAGAGCAAACAAAGAAGAGTATCAACCCAAGTTTATAAAAGAATGCCTAGATAAAAAATAAAAGAAAAGCAAAGAAAAGATGTTGCAATACCGCTTTCGACAGAAGAAGAAAACGATTAGTCTGACTGTGTCTGACCTGTTGGGTGTAGTTCCTTGAGAGAATATGAAGCTGAAAGGATTGTTTTTACGGATTATACAGTAATGCTTGGACTCGCAAGGATTGAATATTAGACATGATTTATGTCCTGTTTAATTGGATTTCTTCCCCAGGTTTTGTTTATTTTTAAATATTTTAATCAATTATGATCAACTCAACCTTTCTATACCTTAATAAGTAAAAAATCTTAGATTTATTGGTAAAAATTAAGTTAATAATTTTTTAGGGATGTTGTCTAAACTTTAAACCAACAGTGCCCTATTACCAATTGAAAAAAGGCTCCTATCTACGTGTCTCACTTTGCCCTAGGATATGGAGAAAGTGAGACACGTCGAATTGTCAGATATGATGGGAAAATAAAACTCTCCATAAAAATTTTAAAAGTTTTTTCAAACATCATTCATATGACAAATACCCTGAGATTTATTGTACCAAGTTTCCAGTAAAACAAATTTCTCCCCCAGGAGATATATCTAAAAACGTGAAGTGTCGCATTTTACGCATAAAAACTTGAAGAACTTGTTCAAGTAACAATGATGTGAATTTTGGCCAATATTACGGAAAAGTTTAACGTTTTCTAACATTCAGTCAGTAACACACCTTCAATGTCGCACCATTAGGTCCAATGAGTCTTTGTCGACGTTTCACAAATCTTTCTTTATTACGAACGAGAGATCCAATCTTGATAATGTCACATGACACGTCGTCATGTAAAACTCTGATAGCCTAATGAATTTAGTGTACGTATCATATTAAATTGCGTAATTTTATCAATTCACTTTCTATATATTTTTAAACTTGAATAGGTTTACTCCACACTGTAATAGGAGTTTTGCCGATAAAACAATAGAAAATCTTTCAAAAACAAGTCTGGATGGTGTTTAAAAACAACCATTTATTGTATTTCCTCAATTCTGGCTTACGTAGGTAAAAATCAGGAATAAGTTTACAAATTTACAGGCATAGCAAGAATACTTATGAGGAAAGCATTTGTGCTTTCGTACTCAGTAGGAAGGCATTTGCACTTTGGACTAGGCATAGCGATGTTTTTTTAGGAAAATTTTTTCACTAAAGCTGTACAAAATCGTGACCATTATCACCACCATCACATGTACGGAGTGCATGGGACTTTGAAAAAAGGAGTAGAAAATTAAAATTACTGCAAAGCATACAAGGATTTTCTACTCGACTTGCAAAGTCACAAAGGTTCTTAGTGAGAAATGGTTTAGCTATTTGAAAAGCAAACACTTTCCAAAAAAAAAATTTGTTTGAGTTTTTAAACTTTATCAGCAATAAAACTCTAAAGCATACTTGCTTTCGTTTCAATATTTAAATAAACATGTTGTGTCTGCTTTAATCCTTGGCGTTCAAAGTGCAGTTATATAATTAAACCATCTACGTAGATTTCTGCGTTAATATAACCTAACAGTTGATAACAATAAGTAAAACTGTAGATAAGGTAAGATATACGTATTCATACCTGTTCATAAGGAACACTCCTCGCCATTAACTTTATCATGTCGCGAGCTTTTATGATTATAAATGGATCCCAGGTTTTTCGTGTCGTGTAGACACTCATGCTTCCCTCGATAACATCTAACTGACATTTTATGCCCTTGAAACATAATTGAACACAATACAAATTACAACATTTTAACTGATAAAGATGACAATGGCATCTTTTAGAGTATATTTTGTCTTCTTTCTCTTCCTTCAGAATGAAAACTATCATCATTGTTTACTGCATTATTTTAATTGTTGCTATAGCTATAACATACCGATTCCTTTAATTTAGCCTCCACAAGTGGCCATACTTCACGTAAATATTTTTCTCTGTACTTTGGGAACAAAGTCGCAAAAGAACTTTCTTCAAGAAGTAAATGCTTATTGTCCTCCTCTGTAAATTTTTCAATCTTCCAATGATCTATACCTTCATGATCCCAGGCTACAGGAAAAAACATACAAATGTAAAAAGTGCTACTTTGTGAAATCATTTGAGAAACAACAAAATAAATGACAGATCTCTTCATGTTCTCGCATCATTGCAAAATATAAGCAACTTCAAATATAAATCAAATCGACACATTGTATTAAGACGAAAACTCACGTTTTTCTTTTCTGAATCTGCTCTTCTTGCCTGAAATCAAAAATACCATGTTTATGCCTTAATTTGGTCAACTGTGGTAAGTGGCAATATTTATGGTAGTGTATGTTGAAGGGCCAACTTAATGTGAGGTATTTCTTTGTAACATAACTTAATTTAGTCATGGGTATTTTTTTTTCAAAAGAACAAAACATATTCGCAAAGATTTTCTTTCTTTAAAATTTACAACCATTAGCATCAAGCCAAAACCATCAACTGTTATACAGTATACGTAGACGTATTTAAGAATTTGGAAATTATAATTATTCAAGAAACAATAGTTCACTTTTGGTTATTATACATCCACCATTGACATAAAAATGCTATCTATTGTAATATCTATCGTAGTATTAATGAAGGCCAAAGCGTTCAGGTTTGAGTGAGCTTTGCCTTAGAAGTTAGATGATATTTTCTTCGTGATCTGGACTTTTAAAATTAATGAATAGCAAATCCACATGTACATATCAATACTAATCAAAACAGTTGCCACAAAAAAATTATCTCGAAAATTACAGATAACTAATAAATTCACAAAAATATTGCTGCAAAATAATATAGGTTTTACCTTCATTTAAGGAACTTTGATCGTCTGCCATGTTTTATCGTGATTCAATTTACCATGAGCGGAGAGGGAAGCTGAGCCTGCAGACACTCACAAGTTATAATAGTAGATTTAAATCACATACAGCAAAAGAACAATTATTAAATATTAATACATCTCTTTGATTACTCGGCATGCAACACGGGACGCAGGTTTAACAAACTCGTGAAGTATTTTAAAGAAGCTTTGCCAAAATTAAACGGGCAAACGTACGCAGCAAAATGTTTAGTTATTTTTTTTACATCTCGTATTAAAACATCGTTCAAAATTTGTAAAACGTTCATAACCCATAATCTTAACTTTTATTTGCAGTGCTGTAGAATCGTGTGTGTGTGTGTGTGGGGTGCTTGGAGGAAGGAGCCCCCTTTCTACCTTTGAAATGGATAATTTTTCATAATTTCATGGCTTCAGCTTCGTCAAGAGAGTCCCCCATGTGATAAAATTAGTTCTACAGCCCTGTGTATTTGTGTAAATCGTTTTACAAATACAAACCTTAAACTTTTATTTATAAGTATGTCATTTACACTTAGTCGGGTTATACACGTCCATATTATTGTATACTGACGTACATAAAGAGTGCACAATGTTTTGTCTAGAACTATCTACAAAAATCAGAGGAAATAGCCAATCCTAAGCCAAGCCTCTCACTTGGCAGTAACATTGAAAAAGTAATTAACGGAATCAAAGCTAAACTATACAATACCTACTGTAAAGCCTAGGCCACACTATCGTCCATATCGACGAAAATTAGAACGAAAACTTCCGCAACGAAAATTTTGAACGAAGGTCGACGAAAATTTCGTTTTCGTTCACATTAGAAGGGTTTGAACTTTTGACCTTTTTCGTCAACGAAAACGCTTACTATTGGCTAAAAATATCTTGATAATATCAGACTTTGTTCTCAAACATGGCGGAGTGGCAAGAGGTTTTGATAAATCTGATGCGAGAAAAACCAATTTTGTATGATAAAAGTCATCCGGATTATAAAGACTCGAGGAACAAGAAAAGAAATCACTGGCAAGATGTTTTAGATGAATTTAATAAAATTACGGACTTGGCGTGGGATAGTGAGTATTATTGATAGTCCGCCGACAAACTTTTTATATCAAATCATTCATTTCCATTACTTTTTAAACATTTTAGCAGTAACTTTTTCTTAAGAAGAAGTAATCTTTTTCTTTTAGAGATCGCCATTGTTTCTAATCCGTCAAAAATGCCGCTTGCTTATTGGCCAATAATGTTTTGGCTTTGCAAACATGCTTGAAATTTTTCGTCGTGTCTGGCATGCTTTTCGTGCACGAATTTTCGTTTCGTTTTCGTTTTCGTCAATATAGACGATAGTGTGGCCCAGGCTTAAAACAGTTATCTCAAATTTCGACATCCGAATCGAGGAAATAGGTTTGTTTCTCTTTTTAAATGTGGAAATATATGTATGTATGTGCGTATGTGTGTATGTACGTATGTCATTCCAGGCATGAACATTAAACTACAAATGAAACTGCATGCTTTTAGTTATATTTTTAAGCCGGGTTTTCTTTTGACTGAATCGTGTCAAACTGAAGAGCCTGTTCATTTATTTAAAAATATGGCTTGTGAACCCTCAAGAAGGAAGCTAAGCTTGTAGGTTTTCTTCAAGAGACAACTACAGTTTGAAAATTATGGGTGTTAGTGTAATGACGACAACTTAAAAACGGCAAACGTGTGCAAATTGGCAGATTTTAAATTTGATGTCAAGTAAGGTTTGAAAACCAAGCTGAAAATTGAAGAGGGATTGTTATGTACATAGTTTACGTATGCCAGACCTCTGAATTTCCAAATTCATTCATCAAGGGTCCTCACCTGTTCAACTTACTGTTAAAAGCGGAATAATGGTAAATGATACGAATTTATAACTGTGACAGATATGCGAAACAAGGAAATTGAATTCATCAGGACATATTTCAATAGTGTTGGACAACAAGAGCATTATTTGCTGGCAGAATATGAAGGAGGTGCTGAAATTTGGAGAAGATCTTAAAATCTTACGCTTTGTTATCGTCGACATCATTTGTTTGTTCACAAACGCACAACAAACGCAAAGACCACAAACGCTTTTAACTAATAGTAAAAGAACAGTGCATAGCATCAAAAAGTACGGCACTCCAAAAATACTATATGTAACGGAAAAAGGTGTTCATTGGAGTTTACTTTACAAAATTATAATTTATGCTAATTATTACAAAAGTACTAACGGACCTAAGCATCATCTATACGTGTTTTTATAGCTCCACCCGTTTTCGAAGATAATAAAGGCATTGTACCAATTGCACTTTTTGGAGATCCATTTACAATAGAAAGCACAGAAACTAGGCACTATATACATGGATCAGAAAAAGTCAGATTTCAAATGCTGTACTACAACGAGATAGATTAGACATTTTAATCAACAGGCTAAGCTAAATGACCATTTCTAGGACTCGAGAGGAGGAGAAATAAACAAAAAAAAAAATCCTGCTGAGCACAATTACGCAACCAAAACATATCAAAAATTGCAGAAGAGTCAAAAATTTAACTTACCAGCAACAATTCAGATTCGTGAAATAAAAGTTTTTAATGGACTACTATCTTGACAAAACTCTTTACCCAACAGCGAACAGCTTGAGAAAAGCGGAAAAACCGTTTTAGATGAACTTAGAGCAGACATTTCTAAGACTTCGAACAATATAAACACACGTCAAACTGCTACGTGAAACTACATTTATCATCACAGCTCCATAGACATGTAGTTGGAAGTTCTGTTAAAACCAGCTACAACGTTGACAATTAAACGAGTAATAAGTAAAATTCACGAGCTTGTCAGTAAGGATTGGATATATAAGCATTGTCTCTTCTGTCTTGGCTGCCATATCTAAAATTTAGAATTATGTTTGTGTAAGTTTTTCAATCCTTATAAATCTGTCACAACGCCTATCTTTCACCCAACTTTAAATAGGCGAACTAAAAAATCTTTGATTAAAACACAAATAATAAAAATGCTATATGATCGAATGTTTACAAATATGCATAATGGTAAAACATTATTGAAGTTGTAGTAAAGAGTCGTTGCTTTATTTCAGTAATCTATATCATTGTTTACTCTAATTCTATCCATCAGTTTGTATGATGATTGCTTTTTTCTCTTCTACATGAAAAAACCAGGTCCAGACAGATACAACTCAAACTCTTATTTTTTATCAGCATGTTGATCAACTATTTAAAAGCTAAGAACGGAAGGCCTGCATTAATGTTAAACTAGAAATTTTTAGAAAGTTCTTTGATACCTGCCAAAAAAGCTTGGCCAGAAAATCATCAGCAAATCATGTGGAAAGTTTTAGTGCACAAAATGCTACACTCTGCATATCCATAGCATCAGCATGTGATCTCGGTGGCGTAATGGATTAGCGCCTTTGGCATCTAATGCAAAGGTTGTGGGTTCGAATCGCATCGGAGATGTAAAACTTTTATAGCAAACAGTTGGTGAAGTGGACCTTTTTTCTTTAAAGAACAAAAACTTTACACCATTAAAAATTTTTAGTAGAAATTTATGTGTAAAAAACAAGTTGACTTAAGGCCTATTCTTACGATAATTTTGCATCCTAAAAAAACAGATTGTGTGAACACATATAAAGAGAGGTACCGACAATATGATTCGTCATTCTAAAAAATGCGATGGATATAGTCCCGGACTTCCGATTGTCTATACTTTCCAAGTTTAATTTTGCGCAAAACAATAGATAAGAAAAAGACTTGAAAACAAGGAGAAAAATACGCAAAATGTATTGATAAATGTACTGGATAATATAAATAGACAACACAACAGCCGTGGCTGTGATAAACCATATTGGTACTAGTCACTCCTTACTTTTCAATGATTCCTGTAAGGAAATTTGGGATTGGTGCATCAAACGGAAATTATGGTTTAATGCAGCCCATGTCTCGAAAGTAAAAAACACCGATGCCGATTTTAAGCCTTGCAGGAAACCATCTAATACTTAGTGAATGTTAAATCCATTGCATCTCAACGAGGCTCTCTCTAAAATAGCGTCTGAACCTGATACGGATGTGTTTGCCTCCCAACTGAATACACAATACATACATTTCTATCGACCTGACCAAGGTGCTACGGAAGTTGACGTATTTTCAGTAGACTTATCAAATATAAATTTTTCCGCTTCCCTCCTTTCAGTGCAATCAGTTCCTCATTTAAAGAAAATTAGCGAGGAGAGGGCAACAGAAATCTGTCTTATTCACAATTGGCCCACACAGTCTTGGAATCCGAAAGCCATGAGTATGTGCTTTCACTATCATGTCCAACTACAACCGGACCTCCGACTTCTAACACTGCCGGATCAACAGCGGGAGACTCACCCTATGCACAAAACCTTAAAGCTTATGGTCTATCTGTTGTCGTGAACAAGTTGATGTGAATGGGGCTCCACCAAGAGACAATCGACATCATATTATCTTCCTGGTGGGGTAGTACAATTAAGCAATACTCCACTTATTTGCATCGATGGGCAGTGTCTTGCGGTGACAGTCAGATCGTCCCAGAACAGGCCGGAGTCAACGAAATACTGGCTGTCTTGACACATTTATACAAGAATAAACTGGGATATATTGCAATAAGCACTGCACGCTCAGCTCTCTCGTCTGTTCTCAATTTAGACGACCATCACACTTTTGGAGAACACCCATTGTTGACAAGGTTTCTCAAAGGCATTTTTGAATTACAACCCTCTTTACCGCGATATTCATATGTTTGGGATATCGGTAAACTACTTAGGTATTTTCAATCAACAGAACAATTAGCGAGCCATAAGTCTCAAAGGCTCACCAAAAAAAACAAAAGACATTACTTTCTCTCATAACAGCACAAAGATGCCAAACCCTCGATTCAGTTTATTATTTCAATTGTGCTTTTGCGTAAAAATGAGATTCTCAAATACCTGAAGTGGGAAACCAAATCTTAGCAACCCCCCATCACAGTGGTTTATGTTAACTGTGA